CTGTTCTGTTTGGGAGAAGGGTTGTTGATCACTATACAGTGGGGCTGCAATCTCTCCAGTTGCTGCCAAATACCATCTTGACCCTTCATAGTGGAAAAGTTGTATCCTGCCTTGAAATCCATAGGAGATGCAACCTTAACACCATTCTTTGAAAGGAACCAAGATAATCCACTGTTTCCATGAAGTAACTCAACAACATCAGGATGATCATCATTACAAAAGAAAAAGGACTGTTCTCCAAATTCGGCATCAACATACAATTCGTGATCTTCACGTAAGTTCTCCGGATTCTCATCGTCTAATGCCGGAATGGAAACATCATGCCACTCATCGTGATCACGTCTAACCTTCGACTGATTCACACGTACTACTGCCTTACCAGTGTTGGCTTGGACCATAGCTCCTTCTTGTCCAAGTACTGTGGCACGAACCCAACGTCCTTTATCCTTGAACTTTGATGAATCCTGAGTCCAAATAAAAACCTTCTCTCCTTGGAAATAAGGACCGTCACTTGGCATAGTCCTTCTTGCAAGATCTGCTCGAAGGTCCTGAGCTTGTCGTGCTTCTTGATGAGCTCTTAAAGCCACACGTTGTAGTTCCAAATTTGTACGATCTTGTGCGGCGGCATTAGCTGACAATTGCTCAGGGCTTGCGGTCTCAAGGTCAAAAAGATCTGGTGGACGTCTTCCAGTTGCTATCTCTATTGGTGAATATCCACTGATAGTCAACTGACAATTTCTTGCCCAAACTACCTTCTTGACCACTTCTCTGACCGTAACACCACGAAAACGTGGGTCATCCAGATCTACCTTCATAACATGCCACATACGTTTGAACAAACGTACAGCTGTCTCTGCTCGGTTTGGCCAAGGAGTTCTTGGTCCACAAGGACATTGTTGTATACCATGGAACCTGTAGTATTCAACAAAAGCATCGGTGAAAAAGGCTTCGTCTCCTACCATGGCCTTTGGAACACAGTTGTTCTCATCAGACCATTGCCTCAATGCTTGGATGGTGGTTTGATCTATGAGGTCTTTCTGTGCCGTAGCCCAGAGAAGATTTGTGGCACCATCAAGAACAAGTAGAATGATATACTTGTTCTTGTGAAGTTCAACCTCACAATGATCAGCAAAAACAACATCACCAAAACATGAAGCTCTAATACCGGAGACTCTGGCTCGTGGCGGAGGTGCCACTGAAGTGTTACAAACACGGCAGTTCCTGACAACTGATTCATACTTCTCTAAAACAGAGTCAGGAAGCTTCAACATAGAAACACGTCTACGAAACTGAGTAGGACTCATATGGTAGTGCTTCACATGAAGCTTATAAAGCTCTACCTTGTCCTCCAGTCTCTGTAACATCTTCCTATATGCCGGTGTCATTGCAACAACTTCACTACCAGGTAATGGGATTGAAATCCGCCTAGGCTCAAGAGCGCCATCACCTGGTTCAAGTGGTTCATGTTTATCACTTGATTGTCCTTTTGATGCTTTAGGAATTTCTACAAGTTCACCTTCCGGCCTCTCAGGTGGTTCTGAGGGAGCATACTCCTCAAGATCATCACCCTTTAAATCATTCTGAGGCTCAGATGGTTTTGACTTGTGTCCTTTCCAAAAAGGATCAAAACCCTTGGAAGTATACCGAAACTTTGGCGGCACGGGCTTTTCCGCGGCACTGGATGGTGCACCTTCCTTCTCTGAAGAGAAGCCTGGTTCCCTGTCCTTTGCAATGGGAACCTTCTCTGAGGAGGAGCGCACCACTGCATCGGGATCACCAATGCCACGGTGCTCAATGCCAGCCTTCCTGATCTTTAGATCTGGAATTTTGGCATCTGGCTTGAACTTAAAAATTGTTCTACCACGCCATTCATAGCCAATTTGTAGGTCCTTCCATTTTGCCTTGCGCCAATCATCTTGCTTCTTGATCTCTTCTCCTCCTTTCTTCTTCTTGATGATTGTCAGTCGCAAGTCTTCCAGCAAGTCAGTGTCTACAGGACAGGACTTAGTTGCTGGGAAAAGAATCTTTCTATAATCCTTGTGGTGACTTATCAGTTCTCTCTTGTGAACATCTACTTCCCAGTAGTCAACCACAGGATATGCATGTTCAGCTACATCTTCATCACTATTGTGATCAACAGAAATATGACCATATTCATAGTGAGTGAAGTGAGAGTAAAAACTCTTCTCGCGCCGAGTCTGCAAATTCACGTCAGACAGATACCATGCAATATCTTGGAAGTCCAAGACAAGATGAGTACTGGCTGCAACCTTCAACTCCAAATATTTGATACCAAGAGGCACCGATGTCAAATAAGCATGTTGAGGTGTCAGCCTGAGTTCAAAGCCTAAGTTCCTCATCTGTGGCAAGCTCATAAGCAAAGGGACTTCTCCTTCTTCCACTATGTGGAAGTCTGTATGGTGGATCGTCCATGCACGATCATACATATAAATCACCAGTTTCTGAGAGCAAGTAGCCTTCTGGGAATTGGCAAAGTAAAACTTGCTCTTGGTAGCCTCAAAAGAGTACCATAATCCACAATCTGGGTGATTGTCGACATAGTTGCAAAAATGGTCGACTGCTCGCCTTGATCCCATAGCTCTAGTGCATCCAATGTCCAGGATTGCAATAGTCGGCGGGAAGCGATTCTCAGTCAAAAATGAAATGGCCTGCATCTCCTTCACTTCTTCCTCAGCGCTCATAAGCGCAAAGCCATCAGGAGCATCTGTGAGCATCTCCTTTGACAAAGAGTACCTCACAGGGGCACTCATGTCATCGAAGATCGTCTCACCATTGTTGACCGCGCAGTCAGCTTCATCTTGACATGAGGTCATCATGCCTGACAGCAAGTTCACCTCACTGTCATGGACTTCAGCTGCTGCTGTCACACAATGTGCAAAGAAACCTTGTTGACCTCCTGATGCTTGTGAAGATCTTGAAGGTGCAGGTAAAGAACGTGGCTGTTGTTGATTTGCATAGTTTGCATCTTGTTTGCCATCTCCTTTATCTTTTCCTTTTCCTTTCTTGCCTTTTCTTTTGCCTTTTCCCTTTCCTTTGTGGGAAAACCATGCTTCTTCAAGCTGTTGCCAAAAGTCATTGGCATCATCATATTCTCCTTGAAGATAGTCATTCATATCTTCGGCAAGAATGGCATCATATGCTACTTGGTTTGACTCCCAAGTGTCCTCATAAGGATTTTCTTCAAAGTACTCTTCTGGATATGTTGTCTGTTGCTCATCAGCAAAATGGCCTTTACCTCGTCTCTTTCCTTTTCCTTTTCCACGAGGTCTGAAGAATCTGCGGCCTGATCTTCCTTTACCTTTTCCTTTTCTTCTTCCTTTTCCTTTGCCTTTTCTGGCTCTTCTTCCTTGGAATCTCCTTTGGAACCACGAGAAGTTTTGATCATCATATACCCAAAAGACATCGTCCAGGGCATCTAAAAATCCTTCTGTTCCATCTTCTTCATCTTCGGCCCAATAGCCAAATGTACCATCGAGTTCTCCTTCGTCTAGTACGAGAAATGATCTTCTACCTCCAGCACCTGTCGGCTGCATCAAAGGATTGTCTACTGAAGTCTTTGTCGTGTAGAACATCTCGATGAACACTGTCCTCAACTCTGTTGTAGTGTACTGCTGCAGGACCCTGCCACGATGAGTCATCAAAGAAGTCAAAGTGTTTCGCTGGTCCTGAGACAAATCTGCAAGTGACAGCATGAGTAAGGCAATCAGATTTTCTCCTAGAGGAAATTCGTTCTGATGAAAAGTCCTCATATTGCCATTGATGGTCTGCATGATTTCCTGAATCCTTTCTGCCGTTGGTGCTACTCCAGTCAACGCTGCATCTGCCTGCATCTGAGCTAGGACCTGTGGATGTGCTTGAGTGACTGGTTCTAACATGTCCATCCAACTGCTCATAAGCCTTTGGAATAAAATCTGGAATCTTGTCATCCATTTCATCATGTCAGCTGATCCTCGATTGAAGCGCACGAATTGCATAAATCCATACAGGAATACATTGGTTGATCCTTTCACGAAATATGGTCGTAGTACTCGTTTGAAATATTCTACGCCGGCTCCTGGTGGATCATTTGCCTTCAATGCATCTCTGTCTAAAACACGCTTGTATACAGCTGCTTCTCCTTCTAATCTGTTTCTCAATGCTGGTCCTCTCTTCTCATCCTCCAGCTCGGTGATATCACACCAATCGTCTATGGCATCCTCATAGGAAAACCATGAAGTCTTTCCATCATAAGATGGGGGCACCTTTGTAGTGACCTGTGTTGTCATTGCTATTGCTGCTGGTTCTCTTCTCAAATGCCTATTCACGTAGGCTGCTGGCTCATAAGCCACATCCGCATCAGGCTCTTCCCAGTCGTCAATCCAATCCATGGCCGTTTGCCCACAAGCAATTCTATGCCTAGGAAAGGAGCTCACCTGGGTCTTCCAGGATCACTGCTCCGCTACCACTGAAAGAGTGACTAGGGCGTACACGGTAGAGGTGCAGACCGCTAGTGTCTTTTATGCGCAGAGTCTTATCCTCTTGCTCTTTGAGCCTTGGAGCAGTCAAGCATGGACACACTATATCGGCTGTTGGAGTGGAACCCTGTACAGGTAGGCTCTACTTTTCAGGGGGGGGGTCTGTATTGAGAAATCAATTCGAAGGGGGGGGAGGGGGGGGGGGG